ATAATGGAATCCATTATAAACTGCCAGCTCATGAGGTACCTTGAGGATCACGAGCTTATCAGTGACCGTCAGTACGGTATTCGTCGGGGTCGATCAGCAGGTGATCTTCTAGTTTACTTAACTCATAGATGGGCGGAGGCAGTAGAGTCCAAGGGGGAGGTATTTGCCGTTAGATTGGACATAGCGAAGGCCTTCGATCGGGTCTGGCACAAGGCGCTTCTTTTGAAGGTTTCTTCCTATGGGCTTCCCGAGAAATTGTGCAAATGGATCACCAGTTTCCTTGCTGATCGGAGCTTCGAGGTCGTAGTTGACGGTGCATGCTCTGATTTCAAGCCTATCAACGCTGGTGTTTCACAAGGCTGCGTGCTATCACCAACGCTGTTTCTCCTGCATATCAATGATATGTTGCTAACTGGTAGCATTCATTGCTATGCAGACGATAGCACTGGGGATGCCTTATATACCGGCCGTGCCAATATTTCTCGGGAAAACGTCGCCGAGTACCGGGACAAACTTGTGTCTGAAGTCGAGTCTTTGCTTAACAAAGTCTCGGATTGGGGCCGACTAAATCTAGTCCAGTTCAATCCCCAGAAGACACAAGTTTGCGCGTTTACCGCTAAAAAGAACCCCTTTGTCGTATCTCCACAGTTTCAAGGCACTCCCCTTGCTGCCTCAGCCAGTATCGGAATCCTTGGCGTCGACATATCGAATAGCGTGCAGTTTCGTGGTCACTTGGAAGGGAAGTCTAAATTGGCCTCTAAAAAGCTTGGCGTGCTCAGCAGAGCGGGACAGTATTTCATGCCGGCACATCGCTTGCAACTTTACAAAGCGCAAGTTCGGCCCCACATGGAATACTGTTCTTATCTCTGGGCCGGGGCACCCCAGTGCCAGCTCCTTCCACTTGACCGCATCCGGCGCAGAGCGGTTCGAATCGTTGACGACCGAGTTCTTTCTGATCGGCTCGATACACTGGCACTGCGTAGAGATGTTGCATCTCTTTGCGTTTTTTATCGCATCTATCACAGTGAGTGCTCCGAGGAATTGTTTGGACTAATTCCAGCCGCTCGATTTCACTATCGACATCGCGACAAAACTCGCGTTACCATCCATACCATCTGGATGATTGGCGGTCCACCACTGTGCGATTTAGAAGAAGTTTTCTCCCTCGCACAACTTCTTTGTGGAATCAATTACCACCAGCAAATTTTCCGAACCGATACGACTTAGGAACCTTCAAAAAAAGAGCTTACACCTTTCTAAAAGACCGGCAACGCATCTGCAATTCCCCTGGTGTTGCGGTTGTTCATGGGCGGCGGTAGTCACTTACCATCAGGTGAGCCGAAGCTCGTTTGCCCCCTATTCTATAAAAAAAGGTATTGTCATATTGTAGAGGCAGTAGTGTAATGGTGGGGTGCGAAGCGCGGAATCAAAAATTCGTGGGTTCGAATTCGCCATTGGAATACTTTCGTGAACCAGTACCAAGCTTTCCTGGATTGGTTAATGAAATATTAGTAATTTTAAACGGCATTCTAGTAATTAACAAAATGTTGGTGTACCTACATCTTTACAACAACGTATCAAACGTCCAATACTAAATAAGCCTAGGCTGCTGCCCATTTCAAAAGTTCGAGGTGGAGATAGGCTTTGAAATATTGTCGAACATTTTGGATTATTACAATACTATAATATTCATTAAAATATTGTACAAAAATTTAATCAATTACGTAAAATTATGAATCTCAAGTTCTGCCGATCTTATAAAAATTCATTTAAACTCTACGTCCCATGAGTATGTGCCGGCTAGAGTTGCCAGATCGAAAAGCAAGATTTTTTATATAATTACGGTAACAAACGAGCTGTTTATGATGCTGATAGTATGTTGATATTGCGCTGTGTACTGAGCTGTAGATAAAATAAAAAAAAACAATGCTTAAGGTGCGTTACCAATCTACACATTAAAACTATTGGAAATGAAAACTTTTCTCATAATTTAAGTATTCACACATATTCTTTTCGTTATATTGAATAAATGTCAAGGTTTCTATTATTTTTTTTAAAGTTTGGCGAATGTTAATGTTTGAGATGTGAAAAACTAATTAGATAAGATTTGTGTAATAAAATAAAATAAGGTTTGGCTTAAAGATGTTTTTTAGGATAGGTAAGAAATAAAAATTTGTTTGTTCATTCAGCAGTGCAACCTTACTTTTTTATATTATAAACGGAGATGTGTCTTTAAAAGGTAATGGTGTTGGGAGATGTGGTGCTCGCAATAGTGGTGACGGGGATACTCCACGCAGTTGAAGGAGGGCGGGAGGTGCTCTCCAGACTAAGTAAGATATTTTGTTTTATTACGCGAACCTTAATTAATTAGTTATTAACACCTTTATTACGCGGAAGTAACGCCTGATTCTGTCAATTATCTTGAATAGTGATGTAATCATATGATATGCTATTAAAGATTGTCATTTTGTATTACTTTGGCGGGCAACCCAGGTTCACGTTATGTTGCTTTAACATGGGTAAATAAGATTGATTTTAGACTAAATTATTACCGGAAAGACTGAAGTTCCGAATCAGAGTGGATTCTGGAAGCTATTATATAGATTCCAAGCACCAATTCAGAGGTTATATCGATAAACTAGTTCCAAAATTGAGTTCTACAATGTTCGCTTTTAGAAGAATTAGATAAATTACTCTACTTTTATATCTTACGCAGTATCATGTCTTATATTGTAGTACTGTCGAGATCTGCAGCTGGTTTGGAAACAATACTTTTTTATAAAAGATGGGGCAAATGAGCATGCAGCTCAACTGAATGTAAGTGTCGACCGCAAACAACTGCAACAGTCGTCTCTTGAACGTTCCTAAGTCTAATCGATCCAGAAATATCGGCGGTGGTAAACGATTTCACAAAGAAGTAGTACAAGGAAGAAAACTTCATAGTTTATTTACATGGTAGAGCCACACTGAAGCTATATTATTTGTAGCATGAATGGTTCTGCTCTACCGGGCTAGAACCACGTTCTCAAAGTATACCAGCCTAAAATACCAGCTTCAAGCTGCTGTGTTTCATATGGTAAGTGTAGGAAACGGAGACCCTTTTTACTGGAAACGGGGCATTCAATCTTAGTCCTCAGGAGTCAAAGCATCTGTATTTTGTTTCTTAATCGAAGATAATGTAGATATCTATGAGCCGTAGCACCCACATACCATCAGGTCAGGTGGACTGTGTGCTCGTTTGGCGCCCTTATTTTATAAAAAATAAAAAAATAACATCAGTAAATATAGTTCTGCTAATAGAACGTTATAAGTTATAATGGAAGGTACGTATGTGTGTATTACCTCAACCTCAAACCATCCTGAACCTACAAAGAGCGAATGCCATTAAAACATTCCTAGGCTGCAGCCGACATTGCAAGCCACACGCCTCATGCGCTGCGGCTCGCCACTGCCAAATGGCGCGTCCGAGCTTCTAATAGTTTTATAACCTGGAGTGGAATAAAACCGATGCTGTCATCACGTTTCGGTCCAAACTTAATGTGGTTATGTGGAATTTTTAGTTTGCTTATTACTATAAATGGGTTTTAAATGGGTGTGTTATTGTGTAGACAATGTCCAAGAAGCTCAGTCCTTTTTTGACTCAGTCTATCCCCTACGTGATTACATATATAACGTTTTGTATGTTTATTGCCTAATTAATAGAATGAGGCGTTACTTTGCAGAAATCAATTATATTAAAGTTGCAAAAAATCTAATTTATCTATATCGGCTTAATGAAATAAAATGATGCGTGTCACCTAGTTTGAAGTACAGCTCCTGTCCTCCCCTAATTACACTATCTCCGTCACCACTAATCCTATCACTACTGCACTAGGAAAAACACACCACCGTCGTTAATACAACACGTGTTTTGTCTCTTCACGAGGCATCCTCAGGTGAAATAGATCGCATCATTTTATTCTTTTAGGCGGATGACAGCAAATTAATTTTAAATAAAACTAATTTTACGGATTTTATCGCGTATATTAACTTATTTTTAACTTATTTTTATATTCCCGACGTTTCGGGTGCTTTCCAGCACCCGTGGTCACGGGGGACTGAGTTGTTTGACGTCCTGCTGTCATAGTTAGCCCGGCTACCTTCACTTTTTTAATATTAATTTTTGGTTCGATTTACGCAGAATGAGCTTACAGTATCTTGAAGTCTAGCAGTGGTATACTTGGGTTTGGATTTGATTTTATTAATTATGGGATCCCAAGCAGATGGCAGCACCCATCCATCTTCTCTATTGAAATTAGGATGTTTTTTAATTTCAATAGCCTCGCGAATCATCCTTGGGAGGAATCGGTGTTCTTTTGCGAGGATTTGTGGTCTATCAAATCTAATGTAATGACGGGGACGATCCTGAACATGTTCACAAACTGCAGACTTCCCGATACGTCGGTGCTTCACGTCAGCTATATGTTCTTTAACGCGGGTTTTAATAGATCTTTTTGTTTGTCCTATGTACGAGAGACCACATTCACAATCCAGCTTGTACACTCCTGCATCTTGTAGAGGGATATGACACTTGACGGATGGTAAAAATTGACCAATCTTCTTCAGCGGCTTGAAGTACGTTTTAATGGAAGCTCGCTTCAAGATGTAGCCAACCTTGTCTGTGACTCCTCTGACATAGGGTAGTTCAGCAGGCACACGCTCGACTGTGGCTGGCTTCACTCGGTCACTGTGACGTAGGCGCGGGACCCGAAGCTTGTTGTCTTGCAGTACTTGCTCGACGTGCTGAAGCTCGGCGGCCAGATGTTTTCTGTCACAGATCCCTCGTGCTCTCTGAAACAAAGATTTTCCCACGGTAGCTAACTGTGAAGGATGATGGTGAGATTCACCATTTAAATATCGGTTGGTATGGGTATTTTTTCGTGTATGCGTAGATATATGGATGTAAAAGAGGCGAGAGAGGTGTGTCAGGATCGCGCCAAATGGAAGTCCGTAGTCTCTGCCTACCCCTCTGGGTGACAGGCGTGAGTGTTTATGTATGTATGGGTATTTTTTCTGTACACAGTATGACCAATAGTGTTATCAGGATTTCGGATGACTAAAACATCTAGAAAAGCTAAAGTATTGTTTGCCTCTAACTCCATTGTGAATTGTATTTTAGGGTTTATGGAATTAAGGTGGTTTAAAAATGCAGTTACTTTGTCAGATGGTAAAATTGTGAAAGTATCGTCTACGTACCGCTTGTAGAATCTTGGATTTACAGGAGCAGTAAGAAGGGCTTTCTCCTCAAAGTCCTCCATGAATATGTCGGCGACTACGGGAGATACAGGTGAGCCCATTGCCACTCCATCTACTTGCATGTAGAACTCTTCTTTCCACAATAAATAGCCAGATGTGAGGCAGTGTTTGAGTAATACTGCATATTCTGTAGGCATGTTGTTATCTTCTAGCTTTCTAGTAACAATTGAGATGCAGTCTTCAATAGGTAGGCATGTGAATAGTGACTGAACATCAAAACTGACCATAGTTTCATTGTCAGCGAGATGTAGGTCTTTAATCTCACTAACAAATTGGTATGAATCCTTTGTGTGTGCTCTGGTATGTCCTCTTAGTGGTGACAGTATTTTCGCCAAGTGTTGAGCCAACTTATAAGTTGGTGAATCGATCTGGCTTACTATAGGACGTAGTGGAGCGTTTGGTTTGTGTATTTTCGGTAACCCATACAACCTCGGTGGTTTGGCACACGATGGTATTGTTGAATTCACGTCAAGATTTAATTTTTCGGAGTATCTCTTTATTAAATCAGTAGTTGTTTTGAGTGTATTAGTTGTAGGGTCTATTTTGACCTTTTTGTATGTACTTACGTCCGATAAAAGTTGTTGTATTTTGAAATTATACTCTGACGTGTCCATTATTACCGTAGCATTTCCTTTATCTGCGCGGAGAATCGTGAGCTCTGGTCTGTTGCGTAAGTTGTACAACGCTTTAAATTCGTCTTTGGGCAGGTTTAATTTCGGCGCTGAACTTCGACGTAACAAGGACGAAATGTCTTGACGTATAGCCTCTAAATCCTCTTTACCGATATTATTCTTAAACAGACAATCCTCAACACTACAGATAATTTCCTCGTACGGGATTTTTTGCGGCGTTATAGCAAAAAGTACAGCTCTTGAATCTTGAAGCGAGCTTCCATTAAAACGTACTTCAAGCCGCTGAAGAAGATTGGTCAATTTTTACCATCCGTCAAGTGTCATATCCCTCTACAAGATGCAGGAGTGTACAAGCTGGATTGTGAATGTGGTCTCTCGTACATAGGACAAACAAAAAGATCTATTAAAACCCGCGTTAAAGAACATATAGCTGACGTGAAGCACCGACGTATCGGGAAGTCTGCAGTTTGTGAACATGTTCAGGATCGTCCCCGTCATTACATTAGATTTGATAGACCACAAATCCTCGCAAAAGAACACCGATTCCTCCCAAGGATGATTCGCGAGGCTATTGAAATTAAAAAACATCCTAATTTCAATAGAGAAGATGGATGGGTGCTGCCATCTGCTTGGGATCCCATAATTAATAAAATCAAATCCAAACCCAAGTATACCACTGCTAGACTTCAAGATACTGTAAGCTCATTCTGCGTAAATCGAACCAAAAATTAATATTAAAAAAGTGAAGGTAGCCGGGCTAACTATGACAGCAGGACGTCAAACAACTCAGTCCCCCGTGACCACGGGTGCTGGAAAGCACCCGAAACGTCGGGAATATAAAAATAAGTTAAAAATAAGTTAATATACGCGATAAAATCCGTAAAATTAGTTTTATTTAAAAATGTGTAGTGTTCGCGTAAATATAAGAAATCATTAAATTAATTTTAGACAACTTTAATGTTTATTGCTTTATACTTACATGAAACTTCTTCGAACGTTACAATTTCATTTCAAATCAGCTGTAAAGAGATTGCGGCACATGGAGCTTACTAATTAACCTTAAACTTAAACTGAGTAACATCACAGTTTAAAGAGAACTAACAGTTGTGAAACGCTTTTGATATTAGGAGATGCCGCTGCCCGCGTAGGCATTTACGCAGGCGGCGTGTATGCTAGGGGTTGTCAAGAAATTGGGAATAAAATGATTTTGGATATTTTAATACGCATTATGATTTATTTATATTATGTGCATAATTATAAGTTAAACACATTTATTGAACAAGATCATTTTCTATTACTACAAGGAAAAATATATTTATAAGTGTTGTACTGCCAAATATTTTCGTGACACTTTCTTTTTATAGTTGTATTCAGTTTTCGATTGTTAAATTTAATTCTGTATTGTATTCGCATTCAGATAAATAATAATAATAATAATGACGTAGGGAAGTGACGACCCGATCGCCCACTCACGTAAAAGTTAAGTGACAAAACTGCTACGTCGGCGCAGTCAGTCAGCGCCATGCCAAGAGGTGTGAGCGCCGTGCCTCGGCAGTATTGAGGGTGCAAAGGCCCGTTTGTGCTTACGGCCACACTATTAAACGGCGCCGGGCCTGGGCGTCTCCCGTTAATTGACGTCCAATTTTATGGATGATGGATAAAATAGAACGCGCATAGGGCCGCTGCCTGGGGGTCGCCGGGGCGCGTCTGGAGCTGGCGCTGGACGCGACAGCATGCTGGCCATGGACACCAGCCGAGTGCGAGGTGCTGCACAACCACCTAGCAGCACCTCACATCTATCATCCCCACCAGACGGCTTGGTGTCAGCAGGGTCATCTCGGACTCGGCAAGCGGCACCCGCTGCTGGTGGAGTACGCCGCATGCGCTGGACAATATATATGAACATAAACGCATTGCGGGCGTACTATAGGGCGAAAGGGGAAGAAACTGCAGGGGTAGCGTATCGGGCTCGGATGCATCGCTTTTTTGCTGACCTGGAGCCGTCAGTTCCCGTCCCGTCGCAGACCGAGTTCGGTACATCATACGCTCGAAAATATTTGATGATGCCGAGCTCGAACGACTACGGCGTGAGGCTATTCCCTCATCGAATGAACCGCCTATAGCTGGTGATGCGGCTCTTAAGGTCATAGACTAGCAGCCATATGTTGAAGCCGCCATGAATCTTCCGGCTTTGATTGATTCAGGCGATGATGGAATGGTCACCCAAGAACTAGAGCAGATGAGGAGTAAATTGGAGGAGCCGATTGTGGAAACGCGCTGTACGCCTCTCGAAAATCGACCGCGACTTCCCCGCATACCCCTAAGCAAGCTAAATTGGGCTGTCGTGAGGGCTCTCAACCCAATGCTAGTGACCTATTTGGATGCCAGCTGGGGCCTTTGCGAGACGGACTCAATTCTTTTTGGTGCCACACTAGCAGTTTGCCCTATTTTTTGGTGCCAAGCTTCCCACGGCTGGACGCGCTACTAGACAAAGTAGCGCCATCCCAGCCTGGAGAAGAAGGATTGAGCACCGTATCGCAAAGGCAAGGGCCCTCATCGGCAGGCTCATAAGCTTCAGGTCGGGCAATAATAGGCCGAGAATTGTGCGCACCGTCAGGATGGCGTTTGCTGGGACAAATATCAGTTTGTCCCAGCCGGATATAACGCAAAAACTGACGGAGCGCATAGACGACCTGAAGCATAGAATCGCTGCTTGGGGGAAGCGGATTCGGCGATGTACCGAGAGGTCGACACGGTTCAACCAGAATCGTCTCTTCCAGAGTGATCAGAAGAGGCTCTTTGAATCATTAGAGCGACCAATGGTACGTGGAACGGGCTCAGCACCGAATCAGGTCGACACTATCGCATTCTGGCGCGGCCTGTCGTCAGAGCCCGTAAACCACAGCGAGGGCCCTTGGACGGAAGTTGTGGCGAGTTAGTGTGCGAATGTTACGCCCATGGACCCCGTCATCATTACGCCGGATGACGTAGCTGAGGCGGTCCGTAGGGCCCCAAACTGGAAAAGTCCGGGACTCGATGGACTGCATCACTACTGGCTAAAGGGGTTCGTGGTGTGTCACGCTGTTCTCGCCCGACAGTTTTAAGAGGCTCTCGACCAAAGGTCGCTCCCGAGCCTCTACACTACTGGGATCACTCATTTGGTTCCTAAAGACCGGGATTCCACAGACCCGTGCAAATACCGCCCCATAACGTGTCTACCTACCATATACAAGACACTAACATCCATTTTGAGCACGAGAATCACTCGTCATCTGAACTCAAATCAGGTGATGTCGCGCGCTCAAAATGGATGAGCCGGTGGTCGTGGAACCAAGGAACCACTGCTCATTGACGCGGTCATTGGCAAGGTGGTTAAACGCAACCGTCGGAACCTCTCCGCCGCCTGGATAGACTACAAAAAGGCATTCGACTCGGTGCCTCATACATGGCTTGGAAGGGTCCTCGAACTGTACAAGGTTGACGGTACAGTTCGAGACTTCCTCGGGCAGTGTATGGGGCAGTGGAGTATAATCCTTTGTCATCTAGGCGAGCGGATGATGGCTGTGGAGAACCACATAAGGATAAGAAGGGGTATCTTCCAGGGCAATTGTTTGAGTCCAATCTGGTTCTGCCTCTCTCTGAACCCTCTTAGTACCTTACTGGAGGGTTCCAGGAGGGGATTTCAACTTTGGAGAGGAGGTACAAAAATGACCCACCTTTTCTATATGGATAATCTCAAGTTATTCCCCTCCAGTCGCTGTCATCTTATGGAATTGCTAAACATCACTTGTGATTTTAGCAATTCTATTAGAATGGAGCTGGGGACAGATAAGTGTGCGGTCCTCCATGTCGAAAGGGGTAGGGTTGCTAACTCTGAGAGCATAGACTTATCTATGCCCATCAACATAAAGACCCTATCCGAGGCTGAAACATACCGATACCTGGGTATGTCACAGAACATAGGTATCGATGAGGCGGACATGAAACAGTCAGTTTGCGGTGTTTTTTATGCACGCTTGACAAAAGTGCTTAACAGTCTATTGTCGGGCGTTAATAAGACACATGCATATAACAGTTGGATCATGCCTGTTCTCATGGCATGCTCAGGTGGACTCAGATCGAACTGAACGCTCTGGACAGAAAAGTCCGCACTATAATGACGTCCCACAGGATGCATCATTCGAGATCGTCAGTAATGAGGCTGTCCTTGCCGCGGAAGCATGGTGGGCGCGGCTTTTTAAGCATGCTTACCATGCATAATCGCGAAGTGTGCAGCCTCTGTAATTACTTTCTGACGAGAGCGGATGATCCATTCTATAGGGACGTTATTTTTTGTGATAAAGGACTTACCCCTCTATCCTTAGCCAACGAGCAATGGCAAGACCCGGCAGTACAGAGCATTTCCGACCGGGAGACCGTATGGAAGGAGAAGGAGCTCCACGGGAGGTTCTACAAGGCTCTACATGAGCCTTGCGTAGACACAGTCGCCTCCCTCCACTGGCTACGTTTCGGTGACCTCTTTGGGGAAACCGAGGGTTTTGTCTGTGCGATACAGGATCAGGTTATTAAGACCAACAATTATCGGAAATACATCCTAAAGGATGGCGCCGTCGACATCTGTCGAGCTTGTCGCCATCCCGGTGAGTCACTTAGGCATGTCATCTCCGGTTGTTCGGCGCTTTCTAACTCTGAGTATTTGCACAGGCACAACCTAGTAGCCAGGATTCTACACCAGGAGCTCGCTCTGAAATACGGTCTCGTGGATCGGAAACTGCCATATTATAATTACTTGCCGGAAGCTGTGCTCGAAAATGACCGCGCCAGGCTCTACTGGGACCGGGCCATCATCACGGGGACAATTCTTGCGAATAAGCCTGATATTGTGCTGATGGACCGGGCACAGTCAAGGATATTTTTGGTCGACATTACCATTCCTTATGACGAGAACCTCGTGGAAGCCGAAACAGATAAGTTGACAAAAT